GAAGGTCCCTATTTAAACATATTAAAAGTCTAGAAAAATCCAGGTAGGGGAAATATGCGGAAATGCGTTTTATGCAAAATGGCCGACAAAATAGATAAAAATATAAGAAAAAAATCGTAATATGTCATATTTATGAATGAATTTTTTAATTTCTTAGATCGCCACGAAGGTTTTTAGTACTTAGCAACCAATGCATGTATTACTTTATAAAATAATGCTATGATATAATAAAAGTGGCCGCCATATTGGATTTAAAATGGCCACCGTGTAAAAAATATATTTATCTATATCTCCGCTTCTAAACCAGTTGAAATTATAGTTTTAATGTCCAAAAATATGTTTTTATGGTCAAGAAATACTATCATACAATTTTTGACTCCGTCAGATTGTCATAAATAGATCATTTAGAGTCATTTAAGGTCATTTAACGTCATTACAGGTAAAATATTATATGGTATCTTAATAATGGAGGCCTAAGTGTCGTGTTTTACATTAGAAACATACTCAACCTCTTGGAATTAAGTTTTAGGAAGGGTACAGTATTTTTTTCAAGGTCATTTTGACGGCCATCTTGGATTTTAAGATGGCTTCCATGCATAACCTCCTGGTATGATGTTTAATATCCAAGCTTGTAAAACATTTCAAATTAGGATCCTCATGCCTAAAATTATGTTTTCATGATCAAAGATTTACACCATTTGTGAAATTAGGGTCAATCAAAGTAATTTTATGTTGAATACTTTGTGATACCCTATCGTTAGCAGTCATGTTTTAATGTAAATATTATACTTAAGCTCGCAGAATTCGAATATTTGATAAGAATTTATTATGGCAGCCATTTTAAGACCATTCGATTTCATTAGGTCAAGGTCATTTAGCAGCCATCTTAAATTTCTTGATAACCACCATGTAAAGCCTATATTAATGTTAAGAATGTTTATGTTTTATGTGTACTGTACATAGTAAACAATACCATTGTATAATTTCTGACATGGTCAGGAGATTATAGTTATAAATAAGTCATTTAAGGTCATTCAATTATGTATAAGGCAAAAATATTGCATTCTTTCCTTGGCTTTGTTGCTTGGTGAATTATACCGACTACCGTAAGCACACTATTATTATATAGGAAAATATTAAAAAAAAATATCTTATATAGGCCTGCTAGCTGAAAAAGCAATCATAACAGTAATAGGACTGTTATTAGAATCTTGCCCACTGATGGAAAAGATTGTTTCGTTTTTTCCGCATCCATTGTCTACTCTTGTGATTGGCCAGTTTTTTTTCTTCATTAAAACCCGAGAAGGTTCATTATTAACATGCCATACAATATTATTTGACCTGAAACGTAATTGAACAATAATTATCCTTTTTATTACTATAATTATCATCTTACCATGTCACAACTTGTAAAGTCCTTTGATTATGTAAAGTAAACATGCAGGCCTATGTTTTTATGGCCATCTCTAATTTGGCTGCAAAATCACCTTGACCTAAAATGGGCATCATAACAACCCCGAGATATGGTATTTAACATAAAATTATCTTGAATGACCTATATAATATTATCCTAATGACTATCTGACTATGTCACAAATGGTATATTTCTTTGACCATGAAAACTTAGTTTTAAACATCGGAATTCTAATTTGAAGTGATTCTAAAATAAATAGATATTAATAAAATAGTTTTTAAATTTCGAAATTAAGGATGGCTGCCAAAATGACTTTGAATGAAGTAATGTAGTTTCTTGTAAAAAATGAATTTCGAGAGCTTCATTATGATTCAGATGTAATTATTAGATGTTAGATTAATTAGATGTAATTAATATGTAATTATTAAGAAGCCATACAATATTTGACCTTGAATTACCTTAAATGATCATAAATCAATGACCTTAAACCAAAAATCTGCTTAGATTATTCATTTAATGACCTTAAAAATTATAATTACCTTAAATGAACAATCTTACCAGGTCAAAAATGGCATGCTAGTATTCCTTAACAATTTAGACACTTTAGAATTATAATTCCAAGTTAGAAGACGAGATAATACCATGGAGATACATAGGTTTTATAAGGGGACCTTTTTAAATCTAAGATGGCTGCCATAATGACTTCCGATAAAATGGTTTCCATCAAAAATTGAATGCTATGACCATAAGGAGCATGTAAAAAGTTGGTGCTTCTGTCCAAAACGTCCATATGGCACTTTATCTGCCTGGCATATGCATACACCACTAAATATGTCGTCGGATTTGCAGCCATCTTGAAATTAATGATATTTACATCAAATAGGTGTACCTATATGCATCAGAACAATTTTAGGATTTGTAAATATATTTTAGAAAAAAAAAATATGCTGAAATATTTTGAAAAGATCAAGTTTTTTTTTTTCAATTTTTGGTTAAAACTAGCAATTTTTGGCGGCCATTTTGAAAAAAACTCACTTCCCCTATGTGGATTTTTCTAGACTTTTAGTATGTTCATACAGGGACTTTAAGAAAATGCACTGCGCAAACAGAAATTCTGTTCAATTTTTTCAACCCTAAGATGTATTTTTTTTTGTACTATCAGTACTTGATACTATTTTGGTGAGGCATGCTTGCGCTGTAATAACGTAGGAAAAAAAAGACTACTTGGAATATATCTATTGATTTTTAATGGGTAAATCGACTGTAACAATTACAAATACCCTTTCAATAATGATATGTATAATATTTATAAATACTAATAATATTTATTATTATCATTGTCAATAATTATTCTTAATAAATATTATCTAACTTTTAAGATGATATTCGTATATTAAAGCTAATCAAAGTAAAACGATGATGTGATATAACCTCGATCTCCCTGTGTTTTTCTGTATCCTTACTTCTATTTACATTTGTATAATAGTGTCGGCCAAATAAACCAATAAACCAATAGCCGCACAGTTACTCTTAGTAGTATGATTTTCCTTGGGGCAAAAAAGCAAGAAAAAAAAAATCAACAAAACAACAAAAAACAGAAACACCTCAGTATATAGTTATAATGATTGTGAAATTGTAACAAAATGTTTTTTACTTCAACGTTAATTATTAGTCCGCAGGAATGGCGCCAGCGGTGGGGGAGAGGGTTTCGGAGCCAGGGCCCTTGTCGGGGAGAGCTGCTCCCCAACCCCATGTCAGGGAGAAAAAAAAAACACAATTCTTCGAAATAAATAACAATTATATGTATTTTGTGCATTATTACTGGACTCTAAAATTGATTAAATAAGAATAAAATCGATTAAATAAACCCCTAATTTGTCAAAATTGTCGGTTCTTTGTCCCCTTGGAAAACTTTAGAAACATTTTAAGCAACGATTGACAACACTTACTTTCCTCTCGTCGGGGAAATCTCGTAGGGGGAATCCGTCCCTCCGTCGGGGACATCAGACCCCCTGTCAAGGTAATCCTGGCGCCACTCCTCTTTGTACAAAAAACATTCGAGATATTATATATATATTAATGACATGGTGTGTGCGCCGGGTCACTCAGTACACTGTAAATCATAATGAGGGTTTACATATATATATTTATTATTATTTTTTTAACATTACATCATTTACAACTCTTTTCGGGATAACATAGCTCTTCATGGAGGCACGGTAAGGAAGAGACATTTATTATGCAGATAGCACCAGCTTTATTTTTTATCTTTGTTTTGTTTGCGGTCGAAAGACCGATATTTTTGGGCGCTGCATAATAATTAGATTTATTGGTGTAAGCGGGCTTGTCCGAGAGAAAAAGGCTCTTTTGTGCTTCATGACCTTGTGGTGGTAAAGCTATGAAATGACTAATCGGTAGTCGAAGGGTCGAATTGTTAAGGCATTTTTTTTTGCGTGAAAATAAAAAAAAAAAGATTAAGGATCCAAGAACAATATATTGTTCCGTAAAGTGTTCTTGGAACTTGAATCTTGGAAAACAAGCAATAAATCAAAATGACTAATTCCAAAACGCAATTAAACAACAACGCAAACCTACCAAATGGCATTTTTTTTCCCCAAGCAAATCCATCTGTGATAAGCTTACATTTAAGTATAAATACTGGTATAAGTATAAATACTGGTATTTATTTAAATAATTTAGGTATATTTTATTTGCATTTAATTTTCAAACGAATACACGTTATTGTAATTCCTAATCGTTTTTTGTTTCTTTGAATTCATACATTAGTTTTGATGTAGGTCCGGCCTGCGGTATGTTTTTCAGTACCGAGTATGTGTATGTTATTGTATGTATTTTATTATTGTTATACGTCTTTAAATAAGAGGTTCCACAGCAAGCAAAGCAGGGTCTTAAATGACTTGATATACAATAAATAAAATACTGTAAATTAAAAAAGAAATAAACTTTCTTATACAATACATAATTTAATGATAATCAAGAAAGAGAACATTGAATAGGCATAGGCATATATGATAATACAATTTTCCAACTCGTGAAACCTGGGTATCTAAGTTTGCTTAAAACATATTTAGGCCGAATGTGCTCTTTCCAAAACCGATTGTAGACATAATTACAGGCTTATGATCTGATGCTTCACTCAACTAATAATTTCACGTTTAAAAAGGTTTTTAATAATGTTGCAGTTTGGCTTAGTAAACGTTTTTTTTTTTCTGCTGAACAATTACAATAGTCTTTTACATATAGGCCTATAACATAAGACCTAATGTTTAATTACATGAACTTGCAAAATCTGCTGCAACGTTAAGTTGACGTTATTTTTTTACACAGCAACACAACTTTCACAACGTTGGCGGAAATTGAAAACCTTAGTTACTATTTGATCATGTATTAGTTTTGCTCTTGGACTAAAGTCATGTGACTACCTATCTGCTATACCTATACAATATGCACGCTTAACGCGATTGGTCGAGACATTTGTACTATGACCCTATTATAATGCTACAAGATAAAGTCTGAAGCCTGTAAACTACCACATTGTTGGAAACTAATTGGGACTCCACATCGACAGACAGGTTAGTGCAATCTTTTATTGCATTTTGTATGCCACACCAAGTGCGAATTGCACTACTTGGAGTGAAGACCTACACAAACAGCGGTAATATAAAATAGTGTAGGCACCCTACAGTATTTCTATTTAGTGTTAAAATGACAACAAATGCTGTCATTTTAACACTAAACAGAATTACCGTACACTATTATTATTATTATTATTATTATTATTATTATTATTATTATTATTATTATTATTATTATTATTATTATTATTATTATTATTATGATTATTATTATGATTATTATTATGATTATTATTATGATTATTATTATTATTATTATTATTATTATTATTATTGTTATTATTATTATTATTATTATTATTTATAAAATTAAACACACTTAACAACAAATCACATTAAACAAGGTTAAGCAAAGTTTAGGGCAACCAAAAGACAAAGATCAGTGAATTCTGCTTCTCAAAAATTAACTTATGTTTTGATAAATATCAAGTAAAACACATTTTATCAAAAAACAAAATTTAGAGCGGTATTAGAAAAAAATCTATAAAATTAAATACTAACCAATACCAAAAATATATGAAAGATACTACTTATATGTACAGTACATATTTTAATCGGCGTAGAAAATATTTTGTAGTGACCAATGACCCAAGGAAAATGATATGGAATGTACAATATATTTTCCAATACCAACACTTCTGCTGTTTTTTTTTTTGTTTTTTTTTTTTTTAATCATTTTAGTGGTTTCTAGATATGAACAGGAACCATGCAGTGACAGACTTATTAGTCTTTTGGAACATGTAACCACGTAAACGTCAACAAAAATCCTTGAAGCAGGATTTTTAAATCATAAACCATGATCTAATCACTGCATTTCTGAAATTACTTATTACTAAAGAAATAACTGAAAGAGATATCGTGCAAATCCAACCTATTTCCTGTTAATGGTAATGAATAATTTGCTTTGTTATCAAAAATAATAGTACTCTAGTACTTCTGCAACAGTGAGTTGAAAATATTTCCATATAAATCAGGGAGCATTTTGACTGTTCTCTGACATAAATAAAGAATTTACAATGTATATTATATTGTTAAGTTGAAATATGAAGGAAAATATTAGAGTAACACAACCATTATGAACATTACATTTAAAACATAGGCATACAACATGGCAACTGAGAAATCAATTAAAGCAGCAACTGAACACCCTGATATCGAGTTCCAAGCTGGTTCTGGTATCTATGTCTATGAAGGCGTCCCCTACCCATGGTTTGTTCACGCCGTCACATTAGACGCACTGAAAACATTCGAAGTGAGAGATGATGACGTTTACATTGTGTCCTTTCCAAAATCAGGTAAGATATTCCTGCCAGATTATAGCTGTAACACTGTTTCCCTACATTATTATACTTGTTTTCGAGCCCATTAAACTTGTTTTACGAATGTGGTGACTCCGGCAGTCAAGTGGGTACATACATACGTAATTAGTTTTTTTCCTGCAAATATAGTAATAAATAATGCTCGTTCATTAACGAACAAATTGATAAGAGTTTTCTAGTTAAAAACATGTTTTGAATTAACAGATTTCTAATATCTTTGTTAATCACATCATGATGAAATTTAATGAGACTCAACTCTTTATAAAAGTATTGTTGCCTTTTTAATTTATTCTTGTTTATATAAAAGTTTGTAAAACTATTTTAGAGCCTTCCATTGTAGATACGAAGGATTCTGTTCTCGGTCATTGGGTCTACATGCGTAAGTGTTGCTAACTGTAATCAGTGCAGAGCTGGCAACCCCAATAGGTACCTATTTATACTTGGTGGGAAAGAAGAATTGCGGATAAAATGCCTCGCTGAAAGACACAAAGTGAAATCCACAGCGAGAGGTCGAATCCCTAAAGGTTGGGAAGCCAAACCGTTCCAAAACTACTTCTAATCACTTTTAATGCAACGTTGAAGCTGCAAAGTTTGTGTGAATCAACTTTGAGGAGGCGGCTTGAAGTAGGTTTGAGGCCTACGTACCGTACACTTCAAACTTATTCGTGAATTCTTCATTCCTCACAGGAACAACTTGGATGCAAGAGATTGTGTCAATGATTTACTACAATGGTGACATAGAGAAAATAACATCAATTCACGTAGAGGAAAGAGTACCACACCTTGAAATGAGTACGGCTAAACCTGGCAACATCTTGTACAAGAAAATTGCTAATATGCCACGTGATAAACCAAGACTGATCAAAACTCACATGGCATTTAATACAATGCCAGCTGATTTCCACAAAAAGAATGCAAAGGTAAATGACAATTAGTTATATGTTAAATATCTCATGGATTAAAACTGTTATTGTTTGCAGCAGATTAATATAATAAACAAAAACAGCAATAATAATGACATTAAGATGGTAATTATGTAAATGACGCCGACAATGAATATCATGTAAAAATAATGATAATAATTGATATTTCTATCAATTGTTGATGACAAATGGGTAAACAAGTTGGTAACTTAGACTGCAAAACTATCGAAATGGATTGTAAGAAAATTACGTCAAACCAGGTGCTCAAGTGTTGCTAGCACTTTGACCTTTCTATCTTAAAAACACCTCTAAAAATGCATAAAAAAACTACTAACGCATGGTACTTTAAAAAATAAAACTAGACGATCCAATAAATAGTTTAAAAATAACATTAAGGTATATCTAACCTTTATTGCTCTGAGGTTTGAGTTCATATGACAGAGTCATGGTGCCAGGATTTCAATGACAATGGAAAAGGATGAGAGGAAGTGCGATCACAATGATCATGAGTTGGCAGGAAAGAGGCAAATTCCAGGCTAGGGTGCTTTGTAGTTGCTTTATTAAGAATAACGTTATATGTTTTACGTATCAAATTTGTTCAGACGGTGCTAACATTGGAGAGCATACAATTGCAGATGTGGCCTAAGAAATATTTGTTTCCCCTTTCTAGTAAACCATTTTGTACTAGAAGGCCAATACTTTGAAAATGAATTATTTCAATTGATTAAGCCATTAGATTATTATAAAAGCATCCTAAAACTATTTTGTACTCTTATCTTAGGGGAGATATACCCTACACCATACTTAAACAAATATAAGATGCTGTTCAAAATAAGCAGGTCTGAGTTTCATTGAAATCAAATACTGTAGTCAATCGCCATTAAAATCCAAATTTATACACTGTTGGTCCAATCGATTTTGCTTCTACCTTCGAGCGTCGATGGCGGCGATGCAATATACAATGTACTATAAAGATGATCTTTTTTTAGTGTAGTAATGGTTATAAACACGTTCATTACATAATGCATTACAGGTTATCTACATTGCAAGAAACTACAAGGACGTCTGCGTGTCTGTGTACCATTTCTTAAAGATGTTCAAAGCTTACACGGATGACGACAGAGTGGGTAGCTGGGAAGATGTCCTGTCTAAGATGTTGATTCCAATGCAAAGTAATTACTCTTTGTTATTCAATTGCTAGGTTAACTCTTAAAAAAATGTAATTATTGTTCCAAAATTATGATACAGGGGTAGGCCTATTATTAGATAAAAAAAAGATCATTTTTTTCAATACTCGATCTCTTTCATTTAATAAATCAATTTGAAGTTTAAACTCTGGTAGGCCGTATCAAGGTCAATTGACATAAACAAACATACATACAACATGCCGATTGACTTTGATACGCGCATATACAGACTACGAATTTCCTCATTAAATATCGTATTATTAGCGCCGTATGGCTCTTGGGTGCATCATGTGACCAGCTGGTGGCAACATCGTAATGACGAAAATGTTCTTTATTTGAAGTACGAGGATATGAAGCGGGTAAGTACAAACGTATGAATATTTCGTGTATAATAATCAAGAACTCACTGGCTTCAAAGATCCTAGTCCATTATATACATATGTTTTCATAACCCATTACCCCTGTGCCAGTCTTCGATAGGTCATTTCTTATGTTGTGTTCTGTGAACTGGAAATTGGGAGTAGCTTTTAATTTTCTAGAAATATGTTTTTTTTTTGTTTTTTCTTTTTTTTCAGTCAGTTACATTAAAAGTAAAGTTACTGTTTTACATAAACAAGATATAATATTTACAATTCTTGTTTATTGATATGACAGTTGCAAATAAATATTTTCTATTCATTAGTTTACTATTATTTATACATTGACTTTTAATTTACTTGAATGAAAAAACATATTTCTAGAAACCATTAAGGCTACTCCCAATTTCCAATTCATAATACACACATTATGCTTTAAATAATAATAAATAACGATGGTATTGTGATATTATTTAGTTCTAAGAAGAAATGAAAATTAATATTAATATGGTAACACATGATACTAGATAGACCATACATTTTGACTGAGAAAAAAATGCATTTTCTAGAAACCACTCGATTGCATATAAAGGAAGCTATGATCACTTATCCCTTATTTTGTTTTGCATTTAGAATACTGAATGTGTATGCCTAATTTAGGTTACTCTAATTTTCTAATTCATAACGCACAAAAGAACAAAATATTAGGTCTGATACAAATAATCCCTAGCAGCCTAAACCTATTGTAGTGGAAGATCAAACAAACAACCAATTATGCACCCCCAACTTACAATGGTATAGCCCATTGTTGGATGGCTTTAGACAGACAGAGCTGGTATTGGACAGGGTGGCTTAGTCCTGCGTTCTTTCTATTCAGAAAAACAATTCTTTTACTTAAAACTCCCACCCGTTTAGGACTCTAATCTCCCAGTACACTAAATCAATCCAATGGTATATTCACAATTTTATCTATAAATCGTTTGGCTTATTTTATTTATAGATGCGTGCCTCTAAAGCTTAGTCTAAAGGGCTAATGCAGTTGTCCGATAGCACTAGTTCTAGTTTTGAATGTTTTCTTACGTTTACTTTTGAGCTGTTGCTTATCAAATTTGTATCTCTACCAAGATCCAGCCATTGCCTTTATGTCTATATACCGGTATATATTTTCAATTTACATAATATTCCTTGTACTTATATCAACAAAATTATGTTGTAATTATAATTCTATATATATATTTATATATATATACATATATATATACAATATTATGTTGTAATTATAATTTTATATATATATATATATATATATATATATATATATATAGAATTATAATTACAACATAATATTGTATATATATATGTATATATATATAAATATATATATAGAATTATAATTACAACATAATTTTGTTGATATAAGTAAATTTATCGAAAGGTCCATTGATTAATCACAGATAAGAAAGTATAATACATACTCCAAGTATTGAAATACACGCCATCGTGTTGGGATTCAATATTTGACATTAATTATGTCATCATCATCCTGATGTATGTATTATACTTTCTTAAGTAAATTTATGTTACAATGTTGAATAATTATCAATATAGGACCTTCGAGGCGCAGTAACCAAAATATGTGACCATATTGGAAAGAAGTTATCTGACGAGGCCCTCCACAAAACTGTTGATCATTGTACTTTCGAGAAAATGAGTCAAAACCCAATGGCAAATTTTACAGGTCTCGAAGACTTTGATCAAAATATATCCAAGTTTATGAGAAAAGGTAACACCAACTAACATCATCAAACGTATGACATTCTTAAACTAATAATTGACGGCTTTACTCCCAACTAGTATCGGATTGTTGATGCCACAGATCAAAAGATGCACACGCGCTATGTTCGCAAGCTGAGATGACCGTCCATGGTGGCCAAACTTGTCGATCAAGTTGTGCGAGTCGTGGTGGAGTTGCAATTATTGTCAATATTTAAGCAATGTATGGGCTGATTTTTTATTTATTCTGCAAATTAAGCAAGATTGTTGTATATACGGAAGCGCAGGAGGTTTAATTTGAAAAATGTATTAGCCTAGCACGTTGCCAGCAAAGGTTATAGGCCTAGCTGACCACAGAATTGGTAGTTAAGGCCTTTAATCCAAATTTAAATTCGGTGTTGTTTACGCTGGCGACTCCGACTCCGGTGTGCATCCTGGTCGTTCAACGCTGGATGTGTCCCTCACATCGAACTTGTTTGGCCAGAAAAGTAAACCGGAGCCTGTTACTCACATTGGAGAAAGTAGATAGGGTACCTGGATGATTGAATATTCATGATATTTAATTTTTTTAAACCATGTTGGAACATGATTGTAAAGATGTAAAGATGTCCTGCACCCTCATAACCTATACCGCCCCAAGCAAATTTTGTTTTCGTAGGTAATTTTGGTAAAACTTCTTGACTTTTCATAGCTCTTCATATAAACCATATTTTGTGCATGGACTACTTTCGAGTCTGTTTCAGGTCATGGTCAGCCTGATATCAGTTGCTTACATTAGGCCTCATAAAAAATGATTAGGCCGCATAAAAAATATTAGTTTACCCCCCTATCAAAGAATAAAAAATGATGAGGGAGGGTTTTTTTTTTTTTTTTTTTTGCTAATTCCGCCGCCAAGTAAAGCAATGCTTAGGGACACATATAACAAGTCATAAGAATGGAATTAAATTTATATTTAAAAACATATGCTTTGTTGTACCAGTAAACATATTTGCAAGAAATCCTGAGCTTTTCAAGTGAAAAAAGTTCGGAAAAACGACCGTTTGAAATATAAAAATAGGGCCTAAGTTAATTAAAAAAGAAAAAAAAAAAAAAAATCAGAATTTTTCAAAAAGTGATGAGGGAAGGGGTGATAAACTAATAACTTTTTTATGGGGCCTGAACGCAATATGGCCTATTTTTCAGCCCTTAATCGTTTGGGCCTTGTATTTGAATCAATGTAAAAATAACAGTGGTTGAATTGACTCAGTTGATGCTGAATTTTAATACATTACCCTAAATGTACTATCTGGAATACAAGCTTACGTGATGATAAACTTCACGCCGCGGTACTCAAAGGAGTACACACAACTGTTAGTTAAAAATATGCAAATGTTACATGAACACCTGGGAAGGAAGGTGGGATTAAGTTCTGTTGCCTAACAAACGTCTGTACTGTATGGGGTGGGGGTGCTAGACTGATGTCCCCCGCTACACAGTAGTGTAGCGGGGGAAGATGAGGCATAATTATACTAGGCATGGGACCAGGCCTAACTAAGTAGACAGTGTAATTATATTTGATAGAAAGTACACTTTCGAAAGAAATAAATTCAAATAAGAAAAAAAAATAACTAAGAGTAATTCAGTTGCAGACGTACCTTGTTTAAGTATTAAACATATGCTAACAATGAGGCTCTTGTAGCCCTAGCATCCATGTACAAAGTAGTGGTGTATGTTTATCCATGAAAAAAAAAAAAAAACACGCCGGGAAAGTTTTCCTTACCAGGAAAAGGTGAGGTAATCTAGCTTATGACGTAAGCAAGCTAAAAATATTGTGAGTATGACGTCACCATAAAATTTATATTTTCTATTATAACTAAAATATTAATAACAACAAGGTTTGTGGGCGCAAATTCCCTTAATACTAATTAAGGGTTGCACAATCTCCTTGACATACACATTTCAGCTCCCAGTGGCGTAGCTAGAGTTTTTGGCGCCATGGGGAAACAGTAGAAAATTGCGCCTCCTCACCCCCACCCCC